CTCTCCCTCTTCCTCTCTCTCTCCTCCCACTATATCTCTCAAGTCCTAAGCTCTAATCACAGACACATCATGATTCAACATCCTAAAGGTGTGATGATTATGGATCATGCCATAAAGAAAAAGATGAGCAACACATAAAGAAAAATACGACAATAAAGATGATGGTAACATGGTGTGTACAAGAGAGTTTGCAAACCAACAGATCCAGGTGTTAAAGGATAAGATGTTGGATTTCATCCAAGACCTTAGATGTTACCCTAATAGAACCAATCTAGGAGGAGGTGCATAAACTGCAAGAGGCCAAATATGTCTGTGAAGTTCAATACCTGATCTAGGTATCTAATTTAGTCAAGGTCTAGAAAACGAATGATAAGTGGATGATATAGGCTGCCCAGCCTTCGTCTAAACATCACCAATCTTCAGTTATAGCTGCAGCGAAATTATGGAAGATCCGCTGAAAAACTATCAGGTAGTTGCTGACACCAAAGCCCTGCATAGCTGGTGCTTCTTGGGAGGTTCGGCTGAAACTGAAGCCTAGTCGTCAGACCACTTGAGGCCATATCTCCTTTTCACCTCCACTTCGTTCCACTACAAGAAAAACATAAGAATATTTTTCTTTAAAGTATAATTTCATCCATAAAAAAATGTAAAATATAAAGGAAATTAAGCATGCTTTAGGACATATCAGAATTCTCTATCTCATTTAGAAGACAAGCCAACGATCGAAGGAACATATGACATCCATCAATTGCTTCCCTGCAAATCTCACGCAAATTGGCTAGGCGGTCTATTGTGCCCTGCTCGCTTTCAACCAGTGCTGGGACTACTCCAACTGGCTCTGGAATCAAACCTTGAACAACATCTCTCGAAGGGAGTCATCAACCCGTATCAACTTGGCTGCACCTAGGACTGTAATCAAGAAGAGTCGACTTGATTTTATCATAGTTTGGACTTGACTTTGTATAATTATAAGTTGTTCATGTTTGACATGAGGTTGTGTCGAACCTTTCATATATTATTCAAGCTTGAATTGTTTAAAATTTTAAATATTTGAACTAGATTTGTGTATGACAAGTGAACGAGCTAATAAACAACTAATTAATGAGATAAATTTCAAACAACTATCGAGATTAATATATAAAAAGTCAATAAAAACTTTTACAAATCTGATTGCACCAACTAATTTATCTATTATAAACTATAAAACCTTTGAATTTTACTAATTAACTACATCCTTCTTAATGATAAAACTACACTAGTTCAAATTTTGTAAGTGGAACAACTAAACTGAACCTAAAAGTTATATGGATGATCATTTACTTAAACATATTATTATTAAAAGTATAACAATAAGACAATCCACATTGATGATGTTTGCAATTGTTGTGTGATTTCCATATAAAATGACCTCATTACATTTAGGATTATGAAATCTCAAAAAAAAAAGAAAATCTTTTATGACACTCTCTTTAACTTTAAATATCTCCTTCTAAATCATTATTCACTTATTGTCTTATTAATTAATTTCAACTTAAATAATTTGCAAAAAAAAAAATTATGATTGCTTGCCTCGATAAGAAACATTTTGTGTAAAGTAATTGTACATCAAATCCACAAATTGATTGCATCATTTTTATCCCATTGAAAACAATATGATTTACTACAACTAAAAAAAAAAGAGTAATATATGTTTTAGTTTCATATAGAGAAAAGAATATAGTATATTTTCTCACTATATGATTATTAATGTAGATAATATTCACTCACATTGAATATACAAATTATGATTTATGATGAATAAAAAACTTCGTAGTAGCTCTTTCCAAAGATATATAATCATTTTCATCATATTGTCAATTATTTGTGGGTTCTAAATAAAAATTAAAAAGAGAGAGCGAGAGAGATAGAGAGATACTTCTGGCAAGACAACTTGTCTTTCCAAAAAAAAAATGCATTCAAGTTGTAAAATTTATATGATGCAATATAAAGATAAATGTAATATAAACATATAAAAATTAATGATCAAGAATAATATTATTGATTTCTTTTAAATTCCATAATGATTTCTAAATCAATTCTTTCCACATTTAAGAACTTGAATGGGTGCTTGTACACAATGATGAGCAATATGCATCTATAACCCGTCCGCCAACATTGAAAGTTGATTCTCATGCAATAATAGTAATGGGTACTAAAAGTATTTCACAAGTCATGCAAAATTTTGACTTGTTAGCTTTCCACAACTCTAAAGCATGAAATTGATCATGGTGGTCACTTTTAAGAAGTAAGAAAGTTAGAGAACTAAAATATGTAAATTGGGAATGTGCCAGAACAATTCTTGAGGAGATCTAATGGTTCAAATGCCTAAAAACTACCATCAAGAGTGCCCATCGACACAAGACTGGTAGACCTACTTATCTAAATGGATGTAATGGCCCAAACTAAAACCAAGACCAACGCCAACCGAATGCAGCCATTCGAGCTAGAGCCAACAAGTCTAAAAACATCCAAATAGTCCGAGCCCAAACCCATCAGATCAATACATGATATATAGGCATGTAAGCCAACCACCATAGAAAGTCTATAGAAATCGGCAACCAACCTTTTGGTAGACCAAACTTAAGGAAAAACTCAGCTCCTCAGTACCATCAATCATTCCAGAGATGCCCCATAGGTTTCTTATTACGGATCAAGAGGTAACCATGCTATAAGAAGTCTAAATTAACTCTCTGACTCTCCTTGCTAAAGAGTGAGCTACCTATTCGGTTATTGTGATTCACCCTCCACTCAATAACCTATCATCACTGAGTTAACAAGAGCTCCTCACCAAGAATTGAAAGACGACACTCAGACTAGATCAACCGATCAACAAATTCTAACCAATCAAGCTAGTCATGCTGACCCAAAGTCTATCAAAGACAGGTCAACAACATTGACTCAACATAGCCGAACATGAAAACCTTAACGAACCGAAGCTCACCGAGCTGAGCTTATTGAATCAAAAGGTAGTTGAGTCACAGACTTATACATGTAAAATATCTAAAATATAATGTAATATAAAAATTAAAGTAGGGTCAAATTGTAACTTTACATATTGTACCCCATCCACTATAAATAAGAGACCATTTTATGAGATAAACAAGACATTTTACTATTCATCACTATGCACTTCTCTCTCTCTCCCTCCACCCATACGCTCTAACCCTTGAGTTGTGATTCACTGATAGATCATGATTCAACAATAATACTTCAGATGTTCATGATATTTAAACATTTAATTCGAATAATTTCATTATAATATTTCCTTCATAATAAAATTTTCCTTTTGAGCATTGAAAGAAACAGGCACAAATTGTAAAACAAATGCAAACAAAAATAGAATAGAAAAATAAAGAAAAATTAAAGAAATAAATCAAATAATAACATTTCGTGGCCATTAGTCCCCAGCCAATTTGAGTCACACTAGTGGCACAAACTCAGGTGGCTAAACATTACAAAGGCAGCTGTCGATTGAAGAAACTTTTGTTTTAGTGTGTAATCCACGTGAACCACCCAATATATATATATATATA